AAATGAGAGGATGAATGTATGAATGAGTAAACTTTTTTAAGACTCAAATTTAGTTTTTTGATTTTTTTTGTTTTATGGTGCATGTTTATATGCACACATGGAAGTGAGCCCTGGAACACGTGTGGAGGTCGGAGGATAACTTTTAAAAGTCATGTCTCTCCTTTCACCATATGGGTCCCAGGGATTAACTGGGGTCATCAGGGTTGGCAGTAAGGCTCAGTCAGTAGCTTTACCCTCTGCACCATCACACCCCTTGCTAAAAATATCTTTGTGATCTGTTACTGATGACCCCATGTAGTAACAAGAAGGTCAGAAAACCACCAACCAAATACTTACAGTACACACAACTATTATTATCAAGGTATGAGAAATATGGAAAATGTACAAGAGTTGCCAAGTGAACAGTCACAGGGTACTTCCCAACGCAGATGAGCTCTAAGACAGGCTTCAAGCGTGGCTGGTACGCTCACATCGTAAAGTGCATTTACACAGACCTGGGTGATACAGTATGACCTCTTACCGGCAGCACCAGCAGCTTACCTTGGATATGACGGTCACGCTGAACGAGACAGCATGAAACCGCATTACACCTGAGAGAGAAGGATGCTATCGGAGAGAGAGTAACAAGACAGCATGAAACTACATTACACACAGAGAAAAGGATGCAATCAGAGGCAGGGTGTGTACAAAATGTCACGGTGAGCTGCCTTTTGATAAGTAGGGGGAATATACTCCACTGTAACAATAAAGTTAAAAGATAATAAAGACATGAGCCAGTAACGAGTATCATCATTTGCACTACAAACTCTACATAACTGCATTGCTGCAACTGGCAATACAGTGGGTTTGTTTACACTAGCATCACCAAGAGCAGGTGAGTAGCTTTATCCCACAATATGACACTATGATGTCATCAGGAATAAGAACTGCATGGCCCCATCATTACCTTACGGGGCCACTATTACATATGTTCCACGCACTCCATGGTAGACCACATGTCTAATCTGTATCTATAAGCACATGTATCAAAGCCAGGCATGGTGGCCCATGTCTGTGGACCTAGGACTCGGGAGGTGAAGAAGCACAGATGTTTATGGTCATCCTCAACCACAAAGATCTGATGACGGCCTAGGCGAGACCTTGTCTCAAAAACCAAAACCGGGTGAAAAGATGACTCAGCTGCTCTTGCAGAGGAACTAGGTTTGATTCCCAGCACCCACGTGGTGGCTCACAACCATCTGTAACTCCAGTTCCAGGGGATCTGACACCTTTTTCTGCCTTTCATGAATACTGCATGCCTTTGGTGTATATACGTACACACATGCAGGCAAAACACTCAGATCTATAAAACAAAACTAAATACTACAGATTTTAAAGAAGAAAAAAAACGCTTGAAGCCAAGTAGGCAAGCACAGCTGTTGTCCTTACTCAGGCCATCAGAGACAAAGGTCTGGAAGTGAGGATTTGCAAAAATGTTGCCTTTCACCTGCTGGAATGGGCAGGACTGGTGAGGACAAGGCCATACTGGAAGTGAGTGGTGGGGCTAGGATTCAAAGCACAACGGTCTGGCTTTGGGAACCCCTCCCATCCAAGGGCACACCAGGGCTACCCCTGCTTAGCTTCTTTGACCAGATGAGGCTGGTCACTAAGAATGCTCCTCAGGTAGTAGAGTACTTGTCCAGTGTGTGCAGCCAGTGTTTGCCTCCCAGCACCTCGCAAACAGCATGCCTGGAATCCTGAACTAGGCAAGAAGTTTAAGGTCATCCCCAGCTGCACGGGGAGTTTGAGGCCCAATACACAAACAGATCTCCTCTCCAGAAGTTTGTAGAAACAGCCCCTCCCATGTGACAGAGGACACACTTGTGCTTTTTCTGCAGCTTTCTTCCCAGCTCTCTCAAAACGCAGAGCGAGGACTTACATAAAAAAAGACGCCCGTTCAAACATTTCGGGTTTAGCTCAGGACAGTGAGCAAAGTCCAGGGAACACTGAGCCCCATGATGGCCAGAGACAGAGATAAGCAGCAAATGTTGACATGGTTTTTAAACCTCATCCCTCTGTGATCCAGAAATCAAACACACCGCACCGTCCCGAGCCTTTTCAAATCAGCGCCATCCTCTAGCTCCCCAGGGAGAAGTTCACGGTTCTCTACACCACAAGCTGTAAATGTCCGCAGTGCTTGCTCCTACCGCCCCACACTTACAATAACCAGTGGCCTGGACTTTTGCATCATAATAAGGTTTGCTATAATTTTTTATTGGTTGAGAATTAATTATGTATATGCTTAATCACTCTGCATTAATATTTGAAAGGGTTATCATGGTAGGTGATAGACAGGTCAGTGCATCAAGTCCTTCACTACTGGCCTTCCTCACTTAAGGTGGACTTAATCAGCAACAGTTACATCATTTCACAGTAAGGAGTTTGGTAAGAATTGCATGGCTCTAAAACTTTCTAGAAAAATAAGAACATATTATCTTATTTACTATTTCTGGATGCTCATCATAATTCAAAAATATAACAGCAAATAGGCTTGGGAGCATAAATTCCCTAAACATTAAGAAAACAAAAATTAGGGACTAGAGATATGGCTTAATGGTTAAGAGCATTGGTTGCTCTTCCAGAGGTCTTGAATTCAATTCCCAGCAACCACGTGGTGGCTCACAGCCATCTGTAATGAGATCTGGTGCCCTCTTTTGTCATGCAGGTGGAATGGTGTATACATGATAGATAGATAGATAGATAGATAGATAGATAGATAGATAGATAAAAATATTACACATCCAAATGGCCCCCAGAATAGGGCTATGCTTATATTAGCTTTAGGTTAAGTTTGACAAGTTACAGAAAAGCAAAAATTCTACAGCCAGAGATGACATCATCTTGCCTTCTTTCCTAGGCTCAGGATCTCACAGCAAAGTTAGTTTCAAAATGATATATATTTGAACGTGTGTGTGTGTGTGTGTGTGTGTGTGTGTTCGGGGGAGCTTTAAGAAAATCAACAAAACCAAAATTCTGTGCAGGGCCTTGAAAGCTCTAATGCAGAAAAGAAACATGGGACTGGAACGTCATTTGATTCCTGATCGCCCTGCCTGCTTCTCGTTGCTTGAGTTTCCAAGTTGTCTGTTCCAAACAACAAGTGAAGCCATCAGACACTTGTTAAACACTGAGTGAACTGGCATGCTGTGTTTAAAATGTTTGTTATTAGTTGGGCCTGATGTCACAGGCCTGAAATCCTTGTCACTTAGGAGGGAACCAGGAGAATCAAAAGTTCAAGACCAGCCCAGGCTACAAAGTGGGTTCAAGGTCAGCACTTCACTACAGAATAGGTTCAATGCCAGCCTAGGCAACAGAGTGTGTTCAAGGCCAGTCTGGACTACATCTAATACCCAAGGTCCCTATCTCTGAGATCTGAGCCACAGTGCTTTGCCCATAACAGATGACCAAGATTTTACCTTTAACAAATATGAGAAGAAATTAAGGACATTTAAAAGCAAATTGTGTAGATAGCTGGTATAGTCTGAATCCAAACTGTTCATACCCACAGACAGGGGTATGAACACTTGGTTCCCACCTGGAGTTCTGCCTGTGGTTGTGGAACCTTTAAGAGGAGACACATTGCTGGATGAAGTGGGTCACTAGGGGTTGGGGCTTGAAGGTCTATAGCCTGGCCCCACTTCCTGTACACTCTGTCCCCCGTGTGCAGATGTAATGAGACCAGCCATCTTCCTGTTCCTGCCACCATGCCATCTCAGCCATGATGACCTCTATCCCTCCAGAACCGTGTGCAAACATAAACCCCTTCTCCTTTAATGATATTGTATCATAGTGGCAAGCAAGTATCTAAGACAGCAGGACAGCGTCAGCTGATAGACATCTGTGTATACCACTGTTTTAAGATTGTCAAATTGTGTGGACACAGGCAGGCTTGAAGTGGTTCTATGTAAAGATTTGCCCAAAAGAACAATGGAGACGAACAAATAAAAGCACATTCTACTCACACAAAAGGAAACACGGCCGCCCACAGGAGCCAAGAGCTGGTGTTCAAGAGCTTCTCTGGGCGCTAACTGCCTGGGTCTCTACACAGGTATCCTCACCCCAGTTCCAGAGGCGGGTGGCACGCCTTGGGTTGTAATGCCAGCCATATCCCTCATTCACTGGGCAGTTGGGGAACCTTTCTAAGCATGTGTGCTGTGGGAGCTCCTTCCGTTCCTTCAGCCAATAGCCTTTAAGATACCAGCACACTTGGGCGTGGTCTCATAAAAGCAGCTATAAAGCCTGGGCTTGCTTTGAGCGCTCACTTCTGCCTGCTAGACTCTGTTCCTGTTCCCCCTTCATGCAGAGGACTGTGATCTAGGACAGTGATCTGTAAGTCTTCCCTAAATAAATAACCCTTTATTATACCTAAGTCTGAACTAGTGTGGGATTATTTTGTATCTTCATATAAAGGAAATATTACTGCAGACTTCACAGGGTTGAGGGAGGGCCCAACATGAAGCCATCAGTCAGTTCCAGGCCTCGCACCCCATTAACGATACTTGTCCTTGTTATTCCCAGTACTCAGAAAGCTCAGCCCACTCCTCCCCATGCTCAGGGCGGGATTTCCTGCTGTTGGTCACTCGGGAAGGCACAGAGGGCTCAGACTGCAGCAAGCATTGTCACAGGGTGGGACTCCTGTATCTTCATAGCCTCTATGTGGGAACCCGGGACTGAAATCTCTGAGCACACTCCTGGGAAATGATGGGAGCGCTGTCCCCTTTGTCTCCCTTTCCTTTCCTTATGCCCAGGCTACAGGTAGATAGTGCAAGCTGGAGTTTGGTGAGCTCTGGAGGCCAGCGCCCCCTGGAGGCCAAGAGGTCATTAGCCGCCATAGAGAATCTGAGGGAAGGAGTGTCCCCACCACCAGCCCAGGGGCATCTGGGTCACTGCAGGAGCTTCCTTCAAATCCACCAGCTCTGAGGGCAGCACATCTGAGTCTGAGGTCTGTGGCAGTGACCCCTTACCTCCTCAAAAGCCTCACAACCTGACACCACAATGTTTGGCCTGAAGTTTTCCATCGTCACTTTCTTCTTCAGCCTGGTGTTGAGATCCACTAAGGAGGCTTCAGAAATCATGTGGATGGGGCTGCAGTCTGGGTAGGCTACCTGTTACAGGACACAGCACAGTCAGGCCTCCCCGCTCACTGGCATTGCAGCCCAAAGCTCAGCAGAGCCCAGACAGGAAACCTCTGAAGTGTGGAAGGGGAGAGCTATATTCAGGAGAGGCAATTGCAGGAGGGGGTTGGGGAGGCTCATAGACTGGATGTCCTAGAATTTATTAGGTAGATCAAGCTGTGTTTGAACTCACAGAGAGCCATAGCCTCTACCCCAGGAATGCTAGGATTAGAGGTATGCACCACCACACTGGGGGGCTGTTACTCATCAGCCTGCTTTCCTTCTTCATCACACAAGGAAGAGTCTGCTGCCGATGAAGGACATCCCAGCAATGTTTTCATTAGCACCACCATCTGTCCAAAACCTACTAATCACCAGGAGATACCTGACACTGCTTTAGGTGAGGAACATTGGTGACAAAGCAAATAACACTATCACGAATAATATTAATAATAATAGATAAGCGTGCCTTGGCTTTGGATGGGAATCCCTGAGGGACCTAGTGGCTGACTGTAGCTTTCCTGCCACCACTTGCTGGCCGATGACACAGCTGTCACATACACAGGCAGTGAAGGTGGCCTGGAGAAAGCCTGCATCGGGAAAGGCACACTTAGTCCCAATATTTCACCTTCACTTGCAGCCAGGCTTCTTCTCTTTCTTTCCTCTCTGGGACACGATCTCACCTTGAGCCCAGGCTGGTCTTAAATTCACAGTAATCCTCCTATCTTAGCCTCCTGAGTGCTGGGTACGGGCATGAGCCACCACACTCAGCTTCCAGCCAGTTTCCTCCTGAGTTCCCATCTCCCCACAAGTCAGCCCCGGCTGTGCCCTCCACACATCTCCCATACCTAACCCTCCAGGCGCCTCGGAAGTCCCAGCACTGAGACAGCCTTCAACCCAAGTCCCTCTCCATCCTTAACGTGCAGGTTGTACCCTGGACCACCCTCCTGAACCACTGCCAAGGTTTCCTAACTGAAGCCTCCCAAAGGGCTCTATGGACAGAGAAGAAAGCACAGAGGACCCAGGGTAGCAGGTAGAAGGAAGGAAGACCATACGCTCACCTCATAATTCTGGAGGTAGCTTTCAGAAGGGTACAGTTTCTTTGTTGTCCTTCCTTTCATGCTGGTATCAAATTGAACCAACCTGTAGGGTTGCGTCTTCAGGTAGTTGGTGAACCACTGGGCCACCTCATCGCCACAATCTCTGCCTTTAATGTCGAGACCGAATAGCCTGGGAGGGTTGCAAGAGAACACTGGATTACTTGTGTTGGCACCAAATACACCAACGGCTGCTAAGAGGTCTTCAGAGAGGGGCCAGGAAACAGCAGAAGGTCCAGCAAACGCTCTGGGGAGGAGCTCTCCAGCTCCCATGGCTACGAATCACCTAGACACTTGTTCAGACGCAGACTCTGGGCCACTGGGCTGGGGTTGGAACCTGGAACTTTGTGTTTTCTGACACACTTCTGGACACCTACATCACTAGGCTTCCGGACCATTACAAATCCCAATGATTTGGGTTTCTTTCTGAAGGGGGGAGGGTTGCCTGGAGCAGGTGCACCTTTGGTTGGAAATTCTCAGACCTGGTTCAGATTGGTCAGTTATTCCCTTGGTCTGTTGGCCTTAAGTAAACGTAACACTTCTGCCTCTCCCTGTCTCCCGCTGTACACCGGAGTTAAGCGTGTTATGCCTACCAACTGGGAAGGGGTGAACACAGATGTGATCATATTGTGCTCTGCTGTGCGCCTGGCTTGCTTTCAATTGACTTCTCCATATTAGCTGTTAAAATTGTGTGACTTTCGCACACAGATTGATATGCAAATATTTCCATCTAACTTCGTTTCCTTGAATTACATAACACCAACTTTTAAAATGAGACTATACTTGATTTTTTCCAGTGATTTCTAAATGTTATCAGTTTGATATCTACCATCATCCATTTTTAAAATACACAAATAAGATTTGCTCTAAATAGACCAACTACTGTTGTTATTGTTGCTGTTTTCGAAACACAGTCACTGGTAGCCCAGGCTGGCCTTGAGGAACTTGCTACATGGTAGAGGCTACCCTTGAACCTCCTATCTCTCAGTGCTGTTCCAACATGCTGAGAAATGGTAGAAACACATACGTACATTCATCTTTTCTTACATAATTTTATATTTATATTTGACTATTGATCTCTTAAAGCATTTCCCTTGAACTGATAAAATTTTGTTTCTTAAGGACACATATGTGAAAGAATTTGGGAGAGATTAAATTATCTTTAAATTTTTGATTTGTGAGTAACTGATTATAATAAAATGGGTATGTTGCAAATTTTTGATGATCTCTAAACATAAACAGCAGATTTCAGTTGAAATTAACTTATTAATGAACCCTAAGAATATCCACGAATCTTACTTAACTCCAGACAAGGCTTAGTATCAATTTATTTCTTCTCACTCCCCTTAAGCAAGGTCTCACGGTGTAGCCAAGTGGTGAGAATTTCACAGTGTTGCCCAACCTGGCTCCAAATTCACAATCCTCCTGCTTCCACCTCCCTAGTGAATCACCAAGCATATTTCCTTCCTTTCTTTAACAGCCCTGAGAACAAGAGGCAATGAATGATTGTCTACACCTATAACTCCAGAACTCCAAAGGCTGAGGCAGGAGGACACTGCGTTCAAGGATAGTCTGAATATATAGCAAAACCCTATTCATTGTTATTTTGAGGGAAAGGTATTAAGACAGGGTCTCACTATGAAGTCTTGGCTGGCCACAGACATGCTATGCAGACCAAGGTGGTCTCAAAATCACAGATATCCTCTTGTCTTTCCCTCCTGAACTCTGGAATTAAAGGCAAATGCCACCACACCCAGCTACTTTTTAAATTTTAATATCCATTTGTTTATTTTTATATTTACTTAATTGTTTTGAGAAGAACATTTAGCAAATCTGTGTTATTCTTGCACAGGGGCCAGGCTAATTGACTCTGTATCATTCCAATTCCAGTAGATGTATTGCAAAAGGAAGCATAACAAAATTCTATTTTAAAAACAAACAAACAAACAAAACAAAACAAAACAAAACAAAACATAGAAATGAGGTCTGGCTAGCCCAGTGGTAGAGTACTTACTTAGCATATACAAGGCCCTGGGTTCCATTCCCAGCACTATAATGGGGGGGCATGAAAAAAATGGTCCCCAAAGGGAGTGGCACTATTAGGAGGCATGGCTTGTTGGAAGAAGTGTGTCACTTTGAGGGGTGGGCTTTGAGGTGTCTTGTGCACGAGCTTTACTCTGTGTGACAGTCAGACACTCTCTGCTGCCTTCTGGTCAAGATGCGGCCAGCACCACGTCTGCCCGCACACTGCCATGCTTCCCACCATGACGATAACGACTGAACCTCTAAAACTGTAAGCCAGCCCCAGTAAAATGTTTTCCTTATAGGAGTGTCTCTTCACAGCAATAGATACATGGTGTCTCTTCACAGCAATAGAAACCCTAACTAATATGCGGGGGCTCTGGTGCAAACTATGGATTTAAGGATCTGGAGAAAAGTTTGCCCTGTCCTCCCACGCCATAAGAACTGCACAAAGACGCACACCCACACACAGAGCCTGTGCGAATGCTGTGCCTGTGCCAGTGGGAGGATGCCCGAGGTGATGTGTGCAAAGGGGTTCAACAAACACACAGAATACTCACTAAATAGTTGAACTTCTGAACTCCTGAAGGTTCAGAATACTCCCTGTCCCAGAGCTGGGATTACAGGCATTACCACCACAACCCCTGTTGCCAAATCTTGACACCCTTCTGTTAAGGCCTGTAGCGGCGTAAATGAAGGCAGACAGAAATTATAATAATATATTCAGCTTTAACTGGGAAAGAGACTTACAGAACCCAAGGTTCCAGTGAAGAACAGGAAAGCAGAAGGGGCAGGGGAGAGCACACCAGCAATATTTATTAGTAAAAAATATCCTCAGGCGACCCCACCCTACAAGCAAGGTGATTGGCTGGGGCTACCCCTACATCTCCCCCTTTTGTCTAAATAAGATAGAGCCAAACCAAATACAACTATATACAATAGGAACAAATAATAAATACACTAAACATTTTATTTCAAGGAGTCTAAATAATGTAGAGAGTAACTACAATTATCTAATCTTTAACTCCGTCAAAGATCTGAGAAGGGAATTAATATTACTTAACAAACGAGAGATATCCAAAATGTGCAACAAATGACAGACAAGTAAATAAATAAATGCTACATGTCTACTGGTCTAGGTAGCCTACACTTAAAATCCATACCTTGGAGCTGGCAGGACAACTAAGCAGGTAAGGGGATTACGGACAAGCTGCACAAACTAAGTTCAATCCCTGGGATCCCACATGGTAGAAGAGAACTGACCTCACCCAGGTTGTCTTCTCAGAAGACACAATGAGAATGTCTGTAAGGGGGCTGGAGATGACTCGATGGTTATGAGGGCTTGCTGCTCTCCTGGAGGAGGGTCAGTTAGCTCAGCATGGCCTGAAATTCCAGCTCCAGGGAACCTGACACACACATGGGGTATCTATACTCTCTGAGGGCACCTACACCATACTCGCCCACAGACACACACACATCATCAAAACTAATTAACAGAAACTTTAAAGAAGACTCACAGAGTATTGTTCATGTCATATAAGCACAAAGAAAAGAATGAGCACACGGGTTGCCACAGACTTACACAGTGGAAGCCACACGGTGTAACACACACAGTGCACACAGTGGCCAAAGGTAGGACAGGGGTGACCGATGGCTGGGGGCTCCTAAGCTACCTGAGGCCAGGGGAGCCAACCCCAAGATCAGAGGTCTGGACTCTAGTTCCACAATCCCCAACCTCCAAGGAAGGGGCAGAGGCTGAAGTTTGAGTCGATTGATAGTCGACAATTTTATCAAGGATGCTATGTAATAAAGTTTCCATAAAAGCCCAAAGGACTAGGTTCAAAGAGTCTGCCAACGCTGAACACCTAGAGGTGTGTAAAGGGAGGCACACCGAGAAAGCACATGAGCGTTCAGCTCCCTAACTGTTGGGCTCATCTCGCCCTTAGCCCTTAGAACATCCTTCACAAGCACTCGGTAAACACGACCCCCAGTTTCTAAGAGACACTCTAGCAATGGACAGAAGCCAGGGAGGGGGTGTCCAAAGCTAGGAATAGACTAATAGGACCAAGTCCTTAGCCTGTGAGAGCCGATGCTGACTTCAGGCAGATGGAGTCAGGATGGATTGCTGGGCGCTGGCTGGTGTGTGCTGGAGGAGGTTAGCTGGTAGAGGGAAGTACGTACTCACTGAGGACACAGAGGTGACACACTCTCTGTATTAAGAGTGAAAAGCATGCCTCTTGACTTCCGTGGTGGCTTGGATGAGGATAGCATCCATAGGCTCATACGTTTGATTACATGGTCCCCAGTTGGTGAAACAGTTTGGGAAGAATTAGGAGGAGTGGCCTTGTTGGAAGAGGCGTGTCACTGAGGGTGTCGGCTTTGAGGTTTTAAAAGCCTGCACCAAAAGCCTGCATCAGCCAGGCGGTGATGGCACATGCCTTTAATCCCAGCACTAGGGAGGCAATGGCAGGTGGATCTCTGTGAGTTCAAGGCCAGCATGGTCTACAAGAGCTGATTCCAGGATTAAGCTTGATCCCTCCACCTACTGAGCAGAATGCAAACTCTCAGCTATGCTCCAGCACCATGTCTGCATGCTGCTGCCATGCTCCCCGCCCTGGTGGACTCACCCTCTGACACTGGAAGCCCCAACTAAACACTTCCTTTCATATGTGGCTTTAGTCATGATGTCTCTTCATAACAACATAAAAATAACTAAGATATCTTCCTATCTCACCAACTTTTTTTTGTTTGGTTTCTCTGTTCAGTTGCAAAGAAATAAAACTTGAGTTGGACTTTGCAAAATTGAAGCTACTATTTTCTTTTTTTATTTTTAGGGAAAAAAGATGGACAACTGCCACTTCTGCACAAAACAATAATACCTACATATGTGTGTGTGTGTGAAATTACATATAATAATCAAATGTTACTTAGCTAGTCTTTCTTTAAGTCTTTTTTTAATTTTTGTTTATTCTTATAACTTAGTTAGCTTTAAGGCTAGACTTCAAAGGCTTTTTGTTAGACCAAAGATAATTTCTTCCTTCCTCTCCCATTAAAACATAAGCATGGGACCAGTAAGATGACCCAAATGGTAAAGACGTTTGCCACCATGCTGAAAACCTGAGTTCAATTCCCAGGCCCCATGTGGTAGATTAACCAACTCTCTCAAGAACTGACTGCCAGGGGAGCCTACTCCAAGATCAGAAGTCTGGATTTAGCACCACCTCACTCCCCTCCCCTGCCTCCAAGGGGCAGAGGCTGATCAATGGTTAATTATTTTTATCAATCACACCTATGTAATAAAAGTCAAATAATTATTTTGATCAATCACACCTATATAATAAAAGCTGAAAGGGCTTGGTTCAGAGAGCTTCCAGATTGCTTAGCGCACACATTGTTGAGCTCACTGTGAAGCTGGCTCCTAGGAGGTGAGCCTCCTCCCCCATTTCAGACCAGAGCATGAGTGTCTCAAAGCGCCCTGCGGGGACCACTGTCCTGGGACTTGCTGTCCCCCTCCACTGTGGTCGCGAGGAAGAAACATCCCGAGAGGGAAAGCACTATGCCCTCAAAAGTGGTGGTGCACGCCTTTAATCCCAGCACTCGGGAGGCAGAGGCAGGCGAATCTCTGTGAGTTCGAGACCAGCCTGGTCTACAAGAGCTAGTTCCAGGACAGGCTCCAAAACCACAGAGAAACCCTGTCTCGAAAAACCAAAAAAACAAAACAAAAAAAAAAAGTGTAGGCAAATAGGAAAGAGAAGGCCCAAATACAGCCACAGAGAAAACACTCAACTGGGAACTCCAGCTGACTGTCAGAGGTCTCTGCTGGATGTTGGAGGACCTCATTTGATGATGTCATCTCCGTCTGTCGCTCCTTGATCTTGTACTTGGAAGCTCCACCTAGGGAAGGTTCTGCTCTGCCTGGGACCCTCTATTGGAAACTCTAACTGATTGTCATAAAGGGGCTTCCTGAATTGGTATCTGCTGGATGTATGAAGCACCCAATTCGATGATGTTTTATTATTGTCTGACTGTCTATCTGTCCGTCTGTCTGTCTCTTGCTATTTTTTTTTTTACTTTGGCTTGATATAGACTTAGTAAACTCACTCATTCAAAATCCAGAGCATGGCTGTCACAGATCATTCTCTGGCTGATGCAGAGCATGGTATGTAGGGAGCAGCATGCTCAGAGAGTACACAGGGGTTCCACCCCCCACACCTTGCACTTCTTCATCTGCAACCTTCTCCTTAGCCTTGGAGTGTCTTTTGCAAACAACTGGCAAGTATGTTTGCTGAATTCTGTGAGGCATTCTGAGGAACTGAACCCAAGAAGGAGGCTGTTGGAGTCAAGTCACAGTTGGTGGGTGGGAGGCTCAGTTAGCTAACTACTAGCTCTAACTAGCACAGCTACTAGTGTCAGACTTGGGAGGTGTGGGAGCCAGCCATGATAAGCTAAGTATGGGCAGGTCACCCAAAGGAAGTTCTTTACTTCCAACCATTATCACCTGCCAGAGTACGACTCAGCCATCAATAAATTTAAATGGAGGCCTGAGTCTCAGAAGTTTACCCTGAAGTAAATGCCTGGCTGCAGAAAGAACCTCAAACTAAAATTACCAGAGCACCACCAAAACCAGACCATCCAAAGGAAATACCTAGCATTCCAACCGCTGTGGATAGGACCACCTGCCAGCACACACTCACCAGGACACCCCTAGACAAATGTCAGCCAATCAGGGGTCCTGAACCTCAGAAACCCCTCACCCCTACTTTTACTATAAAACCCAACTCTAACTGAGCTTGGAGCTCTTCGTTTATTCTAATATGCTGGACATGCAGAGAGAGTTTGCAAACTTGCATAAAATAAAGGCTCTTTGCTTTTTTACATATGGGACTCGGTCTCCTTTCTGGCTTTTGCGGAGACTTCGAGGATTTGGGCATAACAGGAGGCATTCTCAAGAGACCAGTCCTTACTCTGCTGGAACTGGAGCTATCTCCTGGCAGATGGTGTTAGACTTGGATTGTGGGACACCACCTGATGTCTGCTGGAGAACTGATCATTGGGAGAGAAACACCCAAACATTTGGAGCCCAGTTGAAGTATCATGGCCACTGGTGCAAACTACCCACTTTCTTCCTGTCTCATGTGACCCTGTTTTCCCTTTTCAGTTACAAAAAAATAACTGGATTGGACTGTCTGGAGTCAATGTCATTTTTCTTGTTTATTTTTGGGGGAAAAGTCTTAAATACATTTAAGAAATCAACCAATACTTGTGTACCTAATTTATCTGGACTTAAATTTCAAGTTAAAATAAGCCATTGCTCAGCTAGTCTTTAAAGCTAGACTCCAAAGACTATTTGTTAAGTCTGAAGTTTTCTTTCTTCCCCCTCCCTTCAAAGGCTAGCAGCAGGCCCTTTTCATCATGTAGGCCAGGCTGGTCTTGAACTCAAGGGCCTTCTGTCCCCACTTCCCAGGTACTGGGATGCGGGCACGTGTCACCACACCCATTACATGCGGCATTTTCAGACAATAACAACTCAGAGATCTGCAATACCGAGTAACACTACTGACCTATAACTGCCCTAAACATTTTAACACTGGTCTGGAGAGAGGGCTCAGTGGGTAAAGGCTCTTGCCATCCAGCCTGACAATGTGAGTTCAGTCCCTGGGACCCACATGGTGGAAGGAGAGAACTGACCCCCTCAAACTGTCCTCTGACCTCCACATGATCTCTTTCCCACAAGGTCTCTTCTATCCTTGGCATCCAGGGAGCATCTGAGCCTCTCCAGAGCAATCTCTGTGAACAGGTGAAGACCCGTGGAGAGAAAGGTCGCTGTGGGTGAGAGTGAGCCGGCCCCACCCTGGGAACAGACACACCCATCACACACCCATCACACACCCACAAGTTCTCAACTGCAATATAAACGGCATGCTGATTTTTCTCTTCAAAGCCGGTCATTTGTGGAAACTGTTCCTCCTTCCTGCACGCAGGGAATAAAAAAAAGACTAAAGAGGTGCGTGGACTGCGCCCCAGCCGCTCACTGATCTGCTCCCCTCCTTTCCCTCCCTTCCTCCCTCCCTCCCTCCCTTTCTCCCACCTCCCACTTCTCGGGACGACGGGGTGGGGGATCAAAGTCTGCTTTCCTCCTATGTAAACTGAAACTAGGGATGTTCATCTACAGGCTTACTGAGGCACACTGCACTCAGCAAGGAATTGCTTTAGAATTTGGGGAGTTAGGAAGGATGAAGGATGGATTTCAGCTCCGACGTTCTGAACGAACGTGAGACTCATCTATTAGCCTAAGCGCCTTTGGATTGTACCTGTTTCCTCAGAGTTGAAAGGCTAGGTTGAGGCACGGTACTGCACACCATTAATCCCAGCACTCAGGAGGCGGAGGCAGGCGGTTCTCTGTGAGTTTGAGACCAGCCTAGTCTAACAGAGTTCCAAGCCAGCCAGAAGTGCACAGTGAGACTCCCTCTCAAAATAGAAAAAAGAAAAGCTTGGCCGAGGGCCGAGTGCACCACTCAAGGGCAGAATGCCCACTTCGTGTGCCCAGAACCCTAATCCTAACCCCAGCATTCACCTGGTTACCAAGGGACCCAGGACATTGCATCATCCCACAGCAAACACCTAAGTTTCTGTGATTTCCCAGCATCAAAGAGCAAAGCCTCCCAGCTTTAATCTTCAGTATCATGCATGCACGCACATACAAAAAGAAAAAAAAGAGTCTGGCAAGACCCAGCAGGACATAGGTCACTGAGAGAGGGCCCAGATACAAACAGATGCCAAGGCCTGAGGCCTCACCCCTGCCGACACACATACCCCGCCCTACGTCCTCAATCTCAGCGGCACACTTCAGAGGCTGGAAAGTTCCAGTGTGCTCCTTCACCAGCTCTGAGCTCAATGGGTAAAGTCTCCAGTAACTTCTCTCATCTGGATGGCGGCTAAGAACTCTCAACAATGTCTCTCCAAGGGCTAGCGAGCTGACTCAGTGGGTTAGGGCACTTGCTGTCAAACCTAAAGACCTGAATATGATCCCCGGAACCACAGGGTAGAAGAAAGGAACGGATTCTTGTAAGTGGCCCCCTGGCCTCCACACCCACGCTGTTGCATGGGTGGGCATTAGGAAATAAACCATTTTACACTTGGGCCAGCCAAACGTTTTACTTCCCTGTCTTGGAGGCCTTGGAGAAGGGAAAGCCACTCCTATGGCCAGCTAGAGACATATTCCTAGCGACAATGGTCTTGGCACACGCAAGCATGACTTTCAAGCCCTCCTTTATTGAGTCCTCACCTACAGGGAACAGGAGTCAGGACTACAAGCCACACAGCTGTTCCATCCTAACCCCCCTGCCCCACAGCACTGAAGTTATTCTAATCAGCCAACTGAACCCTGCTTATTAACCCCTTGCTTTTTCCTCCTTCCTGCCGAAGCCTAAGCAAAGTCCCTGGGCTGCAGTTTCCCCTTCCTCGAGATTCCTCTGGCCAGCCCCAAGGTTTCCGTGTTAGCGCTACCTACGTCTAGGGACCCATCAATGTAAGGGACCGTTTTCCTGTGTGACAGTCATCTGCAACTCTTTCCATAGCTCAGTTGGGACGGTGACTGCCTAGCACACACAAAGATCAGGGTTCGATCCCCAGCGCCAGACAAACTGAGCATGGTGGTACAGGCTTGTAATCCCAGCATTCAGGGGGTAAAGGCCTAACCGTCAATGGCTCAAAGTCATCCTTGGTTATGTAACAAGCTGGAGGTCAACCTGGAGGGTCAGACACCCATCTCCAAAGTAAAATACATAAAAGCTAGTCCTGGGCACCCTTTCCGGTCACTCCCAGTTGAGCACACCCTGTAGACTAACACCAGCATTTTCCTGCACCAGAGCCTTGTTCTGCAGTTCTAACATGAGTCATAACACATGAAAGCAAACCGCAGGTCCGTTGCAGCTTCCCCACTGCCCCCGCACCTGCAGTCGTGGATCTTATTCGAAGATGGCAGCTTGATAGGCAAAACCATCGGGTCCATGCCTGGGGCTTCCAGGGTCAGGTAGTTGTTCTCCAAGGTGATGGAGACCAGCACGAGACGAGGCTCCTGGCGGGCAGTGACCATGTGTCCATCCTCCTTAACCACCATCCAGAACCTGCAGAGAGGCAGACAGGTGTACTCTCAGAAGTCTTCCCCGACCCTCGTGAACTTCCTTTAGCTCTCCCTCACCTCGGAACCATCCACCCATCCTGCTCGGAGAGCTGATGGCAGATCCTGCAGGTCTCACTAGATCCTCTTATTGGCCTCAGAAGGAGCGCCCTCCAGCCCTTGGGTGAAGTCCTTTGTCACCTCAAGAGGCAGCAAGAAGCCCTCATAAGATGCCATTGTGTGGTCCTAGATTCAATAACTCCCAGCATGCCCCATCCCCAGACAAGACTTGGTACGTACTCAAGCAGACACTACAATCTCTAGTCCTCCTCAGCTCCCAGCCACCCAGAACACCCTTTCTGCTTTAGCACTGTGTAATGAGTTGGAAACCAAGGGCTGGTGTTAGAAGTGGGAGGGGGTGCTCAGAGGCTTCCTGCTGAGTGCTGTGACTGAATGACTAAAGGCAGCTGCACTGAGAATTCAACCTTGGGTTTGCACAAAACTGGTACATGTTTAAAGGTTAATGTAATGGTTGATCTACGGTCCACTTGACAGGATCTTGACTTGCTTCTGGGTCTACCTGAGGAAATGTCTCAATTAACGGAGGTGCAAAGACTCGTCCTAAATATCCTGTCAACCTTTAGGGTACTTCTTTTATCTTGTGGACATAAATAATTCCCCATGAACAAATGATCTGCTGTGTTCTGCTAAGTCTGAGAGAAAGGATGATACCAGAGAGTGGGGTTTCACAACCAAGTTACCCCACCTTGGTCTGCAGTAAGTGTCAACACCCTGATTTTACAGTAAAACATGCATGGCAGATGGACCAGTGTCCAGGAAGGGCTAAGCCTGAGAGAGGAGATGGAGGGGGAGGTGGGAGATGAAGATGGGAACAAGCACTAGATGGAAGGGGGTCCCCTTTATCAAGAGGTGATAAATTTGTGCAGGAGAAATATACAGCTGGCTTCAAGGAAGGGTCTGGACAGAGAAGGTGATCAAGTCACGGTTGGCTACTTAAGGACATTTACAAGGTCAAGGAAGGAAGCTACTCCCAAAGCAGACAGCCTGTGTTAGCATCTTCTGGGAGGACCTTGAACACCTCACAGCTCAGGAGCTGAGCTAAGTAAGGTAAACAAGCCCAGAACACTTGCAATCAGCTCCAGGAGGTGGAGGCATTGAACAGAGGAAAATCCAGACACAGATTAAAGAAAGGGGCTCTTCCCCTGCCCTCCAGAAACACCAGTAACCGGGCTGCTCTCAGGGCAGAAAACAAGTCATTAAGCAGGGTTCAGGCTGACAAACTTGCTTTCGAATATTAATCATTCTTTGATAAATAAAGCTCAGGTTCAATTTTTTTTTTCAAACAAACCTAAGGTGCAGAGAGGTTAAATACCTTTGCTCAAGGCCCCCTGATACTGTACACTTCTTACGTTTCTGTAGCACACACAAGTTTCATGGAAAGAGTGCGTGCTGTTGTCGCCTAAATCTGAATTCAAAACCCCCAGAACAGGCCGGGTTTGTGACCCCAGGCGACATATCATCCTATCTAACACTGTTTCTTAGGTCCGAGGGATGGAGACGTTTGTATCTAATGCATAAAATCAACCTTAGACAGCTAACTTACAGGACAGATTTAGCCCAATGTTGTCAATCATACATTCATTTCACTGACATTCCCTCCGCCCAGGGCCATACCATCTTAAGTATGTATTGCTAATGCTGAGTGTGGTGAGGACCTGGAATTTCAGCACTTAGGGCACTGGTTTGTAACCCTGGGAGCTCAAGGCCAACCCTGTCTACGCAGCAAGTTCAGGCCAGCCATAGATACCTGGTGAGATCCTCTGGAAGAGAGAGAGAGAGAAGAAAGAAGGGGGGAGGAAGGAATTTATTGTTCGAAACAAGAGAAATAATACCATTCTATTTATTTTATTGACCCCCTCAGGAAGCAGAAAAGCAAGGAGGGCAAAGGATACATTTTCTCTCTACCCTAACAACATTTACAAGCAAGTCATGATAATCTTAATGATGAGCACAACATCCTCTGATGATCTGAAAAACACAGGTTGATAGTGGTTAACTGTGAGACGCCTTCAAGTTCTTTAAAAAAAAAAAAAAGAAAAGAAAGAAAAGAAAAGCCAACAAACTGAGTTTATTTTTGTCACTATATTCTTAGCAACTATCACATTGTCTAACTTGCAATCCCCCTGCCTCAGCCTCCTGAGTCAGCACAGAGGGATTTTTGTCACATGGCTGACACTTCACAGCACATTGATGTTCTCACCGTTCATCAAGGAATGGAGCTCAGCGCTGTACTCGGTTTATTTTGAAATGATTAGTTCCTTAACTAAGAATGAGGAAGACACAAACTTCAAAAAATTACCAACTTTTAAAATCATCTTCTTTTCAGGAATTTGCTTGTATGAAGAAAAGCAACATATTGGTCTAGCGTCACAGTACAGTCTCAGGCTTGTGTGAAATTGAGGAGTTTTAAAGAAAATCTTCACATTAACCTATGTGTGAAGACAACTTCAAACCTGACACTCTTGAAGATAGACATATGAAGAATTAGGTTGACTTCTTTGATTTTTTTTCTTGCTTCCTCCTTCTCTTTTTCTATTTCAGTTACCTGCAATTCGATTTCTTTGGCGCTAATCATCTTCAAAGGAAGGAAAGCAGCCCGGCCAGCCTCCTCGGGCCAGCACTCATCAGCACTGAGCTTCAGCACCTCCGGGGAGTTGGACAATATCCAGTACCCAGTACCCAAGGTCTTTCCAGCAGCAAGAACAAGTTCTTATCCTTCTTACTTGAATAAGCTTGAAACATCCTTGCCTTCACAACAGTGGCTGTAAACTCCTTTAATTACAGCAGAGGAATCACCCGGGGGAGATCAACACGCTACAAAAGTTGCCTTCCTTCTTGGTGATGGGGGTTTATTTGCCCAGGAATGGGACTCTCGAGAAATGACAGCATTTTATTTTGTTTCAGTGTACAGGCGGCAAGTTTACAGACCCGGCTGGCCTTCACCTAAGCCGACCTGGGAATGACCTTGAACTTCTGCTCCAGCTGTCTGGAGCTTAACCGTGCCTCACTTCTGTGCTGGAGGATAAAATCCAGGGCTACGTGCACGTGCACACTAGGCAACACTGTCTCTTACGACAGAGCTACACCCCCAACCCCTCAGGAAAGGATAATTTAAACAAACAACCCCCCCCCCAGCATTAGAAACTTAGTATGAGAGTGAGGGACAGAAAGGCCCATGAGCTGCAAAGCCCACGTGTGAAACATCCAGATGGTATTTTCCAATGTGTCAGAGCCCACATTTCTCTAGGCCAGCAGTCACCAAGTGTCAGTACACACAGGTGTCCTGGGATGAACACCAGGGAGCAGATGCCCTCTGCTAAGGGGTTCCTTAAATGACCAATCTGCAAACTCCCTCCTCTGCCTAGATATCATCGGAGCACAACTACCATGTCCGCCACAGAAGACATCCTAATTATAAGAATGAAATCTGTGTGCTCAGCCTGGTGAGGACCACCCACCTGTAAGAGAAGGGTAAGGGAGGCAGCATTTCCTCTGATAGCATAAAAACCAAACCGGCTGTGGGGTGAGGCTAAGGAGCTGCAGATTGGTGGGGTGCCCTGCCACCACGATCCATGTGACGCTGAATCTGCCTTGGGGAACCACTTTCCTACCCCTAACAATACCTTTTGAGGCTTGAGAAATATCTTGTGCTCCGTTTTGCCCCTTGACCTAGGCTGTCCAGGAGTTCACCCTTAGCCCCAGTAACAGCTGGACCTGACACAAGCCCAGGCTGGCCCCCCTTCAGCACAACCCTCACCCAGTCTGGCTGAGCCTGTTTCCTCATTTATGTGTTTGTTCTGCACCAGGAAAAGCTGCCTTCGCTTTTCTTCATTCTAACCTCCTTCATGACTGTTTTACACACCAGTTTGTGACTAGCTCCCTGCCCCTCACAGCACCCCCCCCACACACACACACCGCCATCTGCTACCCCCTTCCCCCACCCCACAAACTATGTAATTTCGTTCCTTTCTCATTAAAGTGGTCACGAGAACTAGAGGGAAGGAAGGACCTAATATTCTTGAAAACATTCAGCCAATGGCTTTTTGTATTTCTAGTATCCTACAGTTAGGAGGGTCAGGCAGACAACAAGGCTGATCATGGGACAGAGGAGTCTCTAGTCCAGGAGTCCAGGACTGCCCCAACCCACTTTTCCAAAACTACCTTGGCTAGAAGCATAGTCCTCGCAGATAAAGAATCAAAAGACCAGGAAATTCTGGCAGCAATTCGAGTTTCTCTTGATAGCTAAGCAATCACCTACGCTGAAAAGGGTGGGAGCCAAAATCGAGGCGCTCTGCTCCCTTCTAGAGAAAATTTGCATATTGTAAAACTAAAATTCTCCTCCCAGAAGGCCTCCCCACTACTATTTTTTGAACTTACAAACTATGGTTTCAACTTGAACATGCTCACAAATGTCCCCAGTGTGACAGTTGGTGACAATTCTTTCCCATGTGTGCTTGAGTTTCCCAGACAAAACAAACCGTTGCTTTCTTGGTTTGGGGGGGGGGGGGGGGAGAACGCAGCTTGCAATGTGGAACCCCTCTCTCTAATTTCACCATGCTTCAGCACACAACGTTTGCACTCTCCGATGAGCACCCGGATCGAGGTCTCACACTTCCGAGCCGGGACAGGCAAGTCCCTACCTCCCTCGCCCATGCCCGTGTCATTACCTGTCGCGCACTTTGCCGCAGCGCAGCCCCATGTCGGTGCACTCGGTCTCGGACACCGACACTCCCTTGCAGGACTTGATCGGGTAGATCCAAACCTTTGACACGGTCCCCACCTGCTGCAGCTGCCGGCGCCGCCGGGGACGCACGCGACGCCAGGCCACCGTCCCCAGGGCCACCGCGGCCAGTCCCAGCGCGGCGACGCCGAGCCAGGTGGACCGCGGCTGCCCGGGGAGGCCGAGGCGAGCCAGAGCCGAGGAGCTAGCGGCACCCATGCTAAACTGCTCGGTGCAGGCCTGAGCTTCTGGGTGACGGTGGCGAGGCGGGGCTTAAGGCTTCGGGATGTGTGGGAGGAGCCAGAGTTGGCGCAGCCGCACTGCCTGGGAAACGTCTATAGCTGAAGTCGCCACCGGTGGAGGAGACAGCAGTCCTGGGGCGGTAACTCTTATTTTGCTTTTGTTTCCCCTCTTCACCTCATCCTATCCCCACCCCCGTGCCACGTGACCTTCCAGCCCTGCCACAGTCGTTTACCCTTTTGCTTCTAAAAGGAACGCACTTAGTTGCGCGAGAAGTTGCACTAAGGAATTCCGCTGGACGAGGAATGGAAGATTTTGAGGGAGCAACTTTGGGACAAGTCTCTGGAAGATCGCGGAACTTTCTCTAATGCTCGCCTTAAACCTCTGCTGGTAGAGACAAGTCGACTGGAGCATCTTCTAGCAGCGTGACCCAGGGTTACAGTCACATGGGCCGCTTAGCCGAAGAACTTTCTAAAGCAGGATGTTAAAATCAGGCTGCGGTAGGGGAGTAGCTACGAGTTCAAGACCCTCGTGGATCATGACAGCCAGACCCTTATCAGAAACATCAATGATTAACTCATCCGCTGAAAGAGATCCTACAGATCAAAGTGCCGGCTGGCAACACTGAGGACTTGAGCTCAGTCCCAGGGACCACGTGGTAGGGGACAGGAGGGGAGTAAATCTTACACACATGCACACACGGGGGATACCTACAAAAAAATAAAATTAGGGTCTGGAAAAATAGCTCAGCGATTAAGAGCAGTGGCAGCTCTTGCAGAAGACCCAGGTTAGACTCCGCTTGCATAGTCTTGCATAGTCTCACAACTGTCTGTAATTCCAGTTTAGAGAATCCAGCACCCTCTTCTGGCCGCTGCCGATATCCGGAACACTGGTGATGCTCAGGCATATACATGCAGGCAAAACACCCACACACTTAAAATAAAATTTAAAATTCTAAGGACTTACAATTTTGAAGTATTCTTCTGTCTCTTGCACTGTCACCAAACAGTAAGCCTTAAATCTCTTGGCAGGAGTGTGTGGTGCAGTATTATAGTGACCTATATATAGGTCACCTCCATGACCTAGAGCAGAGGTTCTCAACCTTCCTAATGCCGTGGTTCCTCATGGTGTGGTTACCCCCAATCATAAAATTATTTTGTTGCTACTACTTAACTGTAATTTGCTTCTGTCATTAATTATAATATAAATATTTGATGTGAAGTATATCTGATATGTGACCCCTGTGAAAGGGTCGTTTAATCCCTGAAGGAGTTGCAACCCACAGGACGAGTGGCTGGAATTAGTGGATTTCCTGTGGGGTGGGGAAGGTCATTCCTGCTGCTTCTGTACCGATTTGCTCTTTTCACATGCTAATTTTGTGATGTTTCCCTGGCCTCACTCTGCCCCACTCTCCAGGGTCCGCCCCCCCCCCCCCCCCCCCCCCCCCCCCCCCCCCCCCCCCCCCCCCCCCGGGCCACAGGCTTCTGTCAGAGTTCCCTGACTAGAAAGTCAAGGCCCACGTTAGAGGTGGGCCTCCTGCTGGGGTAAGTGTCTCTTTCTTTCAAACAAACAAACAAATTAAGAGGGGTCTCACTGTAGCCTTGGCTGACCCAGAACTCAATAGATGGACCAGGTTGGACTCATGTTCATGGGGACCTGCCTGCCTCTGCTTCCCAAGTGCCAGAATTAAAGGTATACGCCATGATACCTGGCAAAATAAAATTGATTTGTTTTTATTTTATGTGTATGAGTGTTTGCCTGTATGTGTGTCTGTGCACCATGTACTTGCCTGGTTCCTGGAGAAGCCAAAAGAGGACACCAGTCTCCGAGAACTGGAGTTACAGATGGTTGTGATCCACCGTGTGGCTGCTAGAAACTGAACCTAGGTCCTCTGTAAGAACAGCCAGTGCTCTTAACCACTGAGCTGTCTGAGCCAGCCTTGTGCCTCTTTTTTTTAAAATTTTTATCTTTAATAAATAAATAAGATTTCTGTCTCTTCCCCGCCACCGCCTCCCATTTCCCTCCCCCTCCCCCAATTAAGTCCCCCCCCCCCAGCCCGAAAAGCAATCAGGGTTCCCTGTCCTGTGGGAAGTCCAAGGAACCCCCACCTCCATCCAGGCCTAGTAAGTTGAGCATCCAAACTGCCTAGGCTCCCACAAAGCCAGTACGTGCAGTAGGATCAGAAACCCACTGCGATTGTTCTTGAGTTCTCAGTAGTCCTCATTGTCCGCTATGTTCAGAGAGTCCGGTTTTATCCCAGGCTTCACCTTCAGCAGGCGATGAAAGGAGACAGAGACAGAGACCCACATTGGAGCACCGGACATAAACCTCAAGGTCCAAATCAGGAGCAGAAGGAGAGAGAGCACGAGCAAGGAACTCAGGACCGTGAGGGGTGCACCCACACACTGAGACAATGGGGATGTTCTACTGGGAACTCACCAAGGCCAGCTGGCCTAGGTCTGGAAAAGCCTTGTGCCTCTTTAACTTACCTGTTCCTTTCAATATATGCACTGATCATTCACCAGGCTTTTCCCAAGGTTTAAAGCTTAGATGAAGAGCCTGTCCATCTGTGTGACTAACAGCTCCCCTGCAAGTCCATGGGACAGTGACTGACAGAAAAAAAAGGCTGGTCAAGACATGAAGCAAATGAATTCCAGGATGTCTGCATTCTCAAAGGACTTGAGCCTGTGTGTGTGTGCGTGCACGCATGCCTGCGTGTGTGTGTGTGTGTGTGTGTGTGTGTGTATGTGTGTATGTGTCCGCGCCCGTGCCAGAATTAAAGTTATAAGCCAGGATGCCTGGCAAAATAAAATTGATTTTTATTTTATGTATATGAGTGTTTGTTTTACGTATATCAAGTGTGCCACAGCTTGAATGTAGAGGTTCGAGCGCAATATCAACTATTGATTTTTACCTTCCACCTTGAAACAGGGTCTCTTGTTCATGACTATGAAGGCCAGGCTATAGCCCTAGAGTTTCTGGCTCATGCCCCAGCACCTGGTTTTATATGGATTCTAGGGATCTGAACTGAGGTCCACAGTCTTACATGGCAAACGCTTTACCCACTGAGCCATCTCTTCAGCCCAGGACAGAGCTTTTGAACGGTGACATAAGCTTCAGGAGGAATGGGGCAGGGTAGAGAAAAGAATTCTGTACAGGAACAGCACAAGTAATGACCTGAAGAAGCTGAAGGAGAAAGACTGAGACACAGTCGGGCAGCCACCTTTGCTCAGCTTCATTAGAATGTTCCAGCGCATTCGATGATAGGGAAAGTGAAGGCAGAAGGACGCGTGACTTGTCATGATACGCGGGAAGCAAGGACGGGGGTCACCTGACTGCTCTGGGAATGAACAATTGAATAAGACCCAAATCCTGGCTCCAGCTGAAGTCATCCCCAGTCAGGGGAAACACTGAGGACAGGTGTGGACTAGGTAATAGTCAGGAGATAGAAGTAACAAGACGCGGTGGCTCCCGGCTCCACAGCACAACAATCTGGGATGGGTGTGGATGAGCCACGACCTCGTTGTTGCGAATGAGGCATTTGCAAAGGGGTTACTATCCATTCACCGCCCTGATTGTGTCAGAGGAGGTCACAAGTCACAAGTCAGTATTTATGTCTCAGAAGGGCCTGCTGATGTCTGAGGCACCTACTGGCTGCATTTCACTGGTTGGAGCTGGCATAGCTCACGTTGTGTTGCACACAGGGCCTTGGAAGAACCTGGCCGGATATAGCCCTCCTTCTTCCTTTCTGCTTTCTCAGCATCCGTGTGTATCCTCGCATCTCCAGAGGCCAACATCAGCAACAAGCTACTCGCCCTGGGGAAGAGCTGGGAGAGAGAGGCCACAAGCACCTATTGCATCAGACTGTGACTCCAGGAGGGGAACTGAGCACAGCCCTGGGAGTCCCTCTGCTGGAGAGCAAAGGGAAAGCCGGAAGAAAGGAAAGGCCACAGGAGATAAACAAGTGCAGGAGAGAGCCACCCCCGTGCGTTGGAATGTGGACTTTATCCAGAGGTTATGAAAACACAAGTAATGCTATTACTTGCCAGTAGAGAAAGCAAAGCAAATGACTGGAGATTCGGGAGGAGGAAAGTTTCGATTTCACGTACAAACTCAACCCGATCTCTGAATCAAAACATTGTTAATGGTTCAGATGTTCAGAAACAGAAATTATTTTTAAACATGTCTCGAAATGATCCTACCGACCTTAGTCAGGCAGTCACTGGGCTCTGGATAAACAAAACAGCAGTGGGCAATCTTACCTGACTCCATCTAGCAGGTGTTTTTGAAGTTTCATGGCCGACAGTCACAGTGCCTGCTCCTCTCCCAGAGGACATGGGTTCAATTCCCAGCACCCACATGGTGGATCACAACCATTTGTAACCCCAGGGCACCCGACTCCACCTTATGGCCTCTGTGGGCCCCACGTACATGTGGTGCACACACATACATATGTGCCAGCAAAACACTCACACACCTTAAACAAACTTCCTAAAAGATGTGTAAACAAGTAACTAACTTGTATGTTATAATGGCTGTTTTTCTAAAGATTGGCGGTTAGGGTCCATGTGGAGGACTGAGTAGCTTAGGCAGCCTGAGAGATCTCTGGGAGGGAGCATAGAAATGGGTTTTGAAGATAAAATAGAAGTTTCAAAAACAGAAAGCAGAGGCAGCACAACGTCCGAAAGTGAAAACTTTCTGGAAGATCTGAAGTGGGTTTTTGGGGGAGAGCAGCTCTGTCAGGACCAGGGAAGTATTGGGATCGGGAGGGCTTCTAGGGCAGGACCAGGGCCTACTGCGCAGGCTCTTCATATTGCCTGGGGGAATACAAATTCCTAGAACGTTCAAATATTGCTATTCTGGAAGTTACTGAATATATACCTTTAGGAAAATTGATTTTGCCCCAAATAGCAGAAAAAAAATAGCTTGACAGATACTGGGTTTTCTTTGGTGTGTGTGTGGGGGGGGGGGGGGGCGCTTTTCTTTGAGACTGCGGTCTCCTATTTAGTTCAGGATGGTTTCAAACTCACATTAATCCTCCTGCCTCATTCTCCAGAGGATTGGGATCATGGTCCCTGAGTAGAAATTATGTTTTCT